GGGGGACGACGAGTCGTTCCTGCGAACCTCTTGAGGGAGAAGGGCAGTCGAGGGGGAAGAGGGTTGGATCGATTGTTTACGCTTCGTTGTTGTCATTCGCAGATTAGCCTCGTCTTGCGTGGGGTGTATTAAGAAAGGGGTTGGGGGATGATAGAAAGAAAACGAGGAATTTAGTTTTAGGGTGTACATTTCGTGGTTCCTATGGTCTAGATTTTTAATTAAGCGATAATAATACGAAATTTTATAGCGTAGTTAGCGTAGATTTCTTCGAAGAAGAAGAATTTCTTGCCAGTCGTATTCTAAACGATAGAATTTTTGGGAGGGGGTGAAATTTGAAATTATATTCGTGGTGAAATTCTGTATATCGAAGTAAGTTTTCTTCTAAACTTGAAGAAAGGACGCATGCGCGACGGGTGAAATCGGTAAATTATTACATAAACTCGATTTCTATCATTATTTTACGAATGAAAAGTAATAAGCAATAAAAGATGGTGGGACATCTCTACAACATCTCTCCTCTTCCATTATATAAAACTATTACACAATAATCTTGCCATTCACGAGCAGACATTCAATTTTCTTTTTTAATTTTAAATTTTTCAAATTGTTACGCTCTTTATCCGACCATCACGAAAATGGAACCACTTCTTTCGCCTCGGACGCGGTAATAAAAAATTTACGAACTTCCGAGAAAGCTTTCTGGCATCTCCGCAACCCATCCAGCCACCTCTTTGTTCTCCTCGCCGCGCGTTTCGCCTTACGACACCTTTCCTGGACACGTGCAATCGTCCGCGACTATTCTACAGCCGGGACAAGTCCGGCAAACGCGAGATTACACCAGTCCCCACGCGAAATCAAACTCGTGCTAATCAATCGTAATAACCAATTGTGTCTGTCCCCTTCTTTCTTAACGTTTTCAGATAGATCTATCTCTTCGTCTAATTATACATAACGATTTTCAATCGAGCGAGATTCAAGATATTCAACCGTAGAATATCTTTATATTCTATCTCTTAATAATTTTTTTTAAATAATATTTCTTTTATGGTAAAATTGCGAGATCGGTTTCTCTGAAAAAATATACATCCGTAGATAAGCAACTCGAATTTCGAATGGAAACAGATTCGTTTCGGACCAAGATTTCGATTCGACAAACGATCCCCCCTTTTCGCTAACGAATATATAGCGTGAAACGAGACATTGGAAACGCGATTCTATCGACGAGAGAAAATCGGCCGCGATAAATGCGATGGAGGCCGCCCCTCCTCCCCTCCTCCAATGATAAACGATGACTTATCGGGTACTGTTAACGCGGGGACACACGCAACACCGTTGTTCCCGCGTACGACGGTTCCAAGCCACGTGTCCAAGACGTTTTCTATTAATAATCCGCGCGTGAGTCACACAGATGCATGATGCATTTTTTCTCCCGTGGATTAATGCGGTGTCGCGTCACCCCTCCCCCCGATTACTCCGCGACCGTGCTAGGAGAGCAAAGTAGCAAAGTCCGTTTTTAAAATTGCCGGAGTCTTGGTATTTCCCCCGCCATCTTTTATTGGAACAACTTTTATTGGGGGAGATTAGATTCCTGATAATGGAGGATTAGGTTATAAGTAACTTTGTGCTTATAGCTCGTTTCTTTGTGCCAATAATTTAAAAGAATTTGAAGAAATTGTTTTAACGAATAATACGAGCATCCTCTACTCTTCTTTGTATTTCTTGAAGATATTTTCAAATTTCTAGCTCGTTTTTTATTAGCAAATTATTTAAAACGCGACAAAAAAGAACAGAGTCTAATCCTCTTCGAAATATTTTGATTTTAATATTCAATTGTAATATCTTTTGAATATTACATTTTTCCTATTGACAAAAAGAAAAAATGTATCTTATTCCTCGGGATACAGAGCTCTTCCCTCGTCCCATTTTATTTAGTATTCGTCGAACGTCGGCTCGTTATTGGCGCCACGAATATGGTTCGAGTCACGTCAGGCGTTGGCGTTAAGAACGCCTCTGAAAATCGTGGAAAATTCACGAGGCACGATTTATTAGCGCCGCTCGATCGATCCGCCGTTATTGAATCTGCGGCAGAAAATTTCTCGATGCCGGGGTAGTAGTTGGTTTAGGTAGAGGAGATGGTGAAATAAATTTGTTTTCCCCCTTTTGTTTCGTCGAAGTTGAGATTTTCTCTGCGATGATTTAATTTTTCTTCTTCTTCTTTCGATTCGAAGGAGGCAAGGGGGGGAACATGTTTGGGAGCTGTTTTTTGTTTTTGGTAAACATCTTGGTTGGATTTTCGTTGTAAACATCGTGGACGACGAAGAAGAAGAAGAAGAACAAGTTCGAATTTTTGACAAAGTGTTACGATCACGTTTTCATTTATCTTCTTCGTCGAAACGAGGGGAAATTCCAGGATTTACCGATTCTTTAGGCGAGGAATGCAATCTCTCTCTCTCCATTCGATGGAATAAAGTGTGGAGAATCTAGGTCGCTGTGTCTTTTTGAATTTTTCGAAAATTAAAAAAAAATTGCAAACTGATACCAATAACAATCGATCGAACAAAGTGACGAGGTAGCAAAAATTACCGGACAAAAAGAAAAATTCAAAAAGGTTACTTATTATTAAAAAAAGACTTTCTAAAAGAATACCTCGTTCGAGGAGCTCCTCTTACCTTTCACCTGCTGCACAGTGGTGAGCTTCCGTTCCCAAAGATCGTCGAACGGATGCGACGTGGCCGGCTCGAAATCACCCGTGTACTGTCTCAAACCGCCGCTGGTCGTGTAACAACACGTGCACATGCACGAGTGATATCTCAGTCTCCCTTCGTCCAGATAGGGATGCGCCAGTGCATCCACCACCGTGATCCTCTTGTCCTGCGGGAAGTTCGTGAACACGGTCAAAACACGATCGATATAAAAAAAAAAAAAAACTGTGCTTCTTCTAGACTTTGGTTATCTGTACGAGGGTGGTTAATTTATTATACGTTGATTTGTTAGGAGGTGGGGGAAAAAACTGAATTTGGATATTTTTTTAGGGATGAATTTATTGGTTATAAAGTCGTCTAATTTTTTATTTTTATTTTTCGATTTCATTTTTCAATGTTCTACGGTTACACGTATTATTTTTTTTTGATAAATTATTGTTAAAAAGGAAGGGGAAGTTTTTAATAAACTTTTACTTCCATGTTCACTTAAATATTCTCTTTCCCTCGAGTTCGGGAACAACACGAACTCGAAGATAAATTCAAAGTTTCCACCACATTTTTCGTGTCGCCTTCGAGTTTTAATCCCTCCGTCTTCCCTCCCCCCTTCTCGTCGCCTCCTCCGACTTCCTCCTGGTCTTTTCCATTCCAGAAACTTCAGATGATTCTAATTAAGCCTCCGCGAATCCTCTCTTGTTTTCCCGCTATAATGCAGGAAGCCAGGAAACGTATCAAAACACCCC